GGGAATAGAAAAGTATACAGACAAAACAGTCATCGACAAAATTAACATAAAATTGTGCAAACTACTCCTCCAAGTTAACCAGTCTGCAACAAATTTGGCTGTAAGAGGAAAGAGCTGGGTAGACATCCACTGTCAGTATTTATTAATAAAATGATTATAAAATACTGGCATAGATCATGCACTGTGAAAGAAAACACTCTAATTCACGAGGCAATGTCTTACAATATCGACAACAAAACAAAGTGGGCAACAACAATCAGTCAAATAACTGGTGTTGATAATATTAATGATTAATGAAGGGAGTTTTAGAAAAAATAGAAGATGATTATTCAAAAAAGTGGAAGAGTGACATTAATTTAGAAAAATCTGATTCAGGAGAGCTCAACAAACTTCGCACCTACAGGAAGTTTAAAACAAACTTCAAAATGGAAAAGTATTTGATGGATGTGAATAATTCAAATATAGAAAATATATTTGTAAATTAAGAATTAGTGACCATCAGCTTATGATTGAGAAAGGAAGGTATACTAGACCAAAAACCAAACTGGAACACAGAATCTACACAAGATGTGACAATGACTCAGTTGAGGATGAGTACCATTACATTATGGACTGCCCACAGCACAATAAAATGAGGCAGATACTTTTTACAGACTTACATAAGGATAATCCTAATTTTACTTCAATGGATCATCCCGATAAATTTATTTACATTATGACAAACTGCCACATTAAGCTTGGTATGTTTATAATGCAAACAGGTGTGTATTAATAAAATACCTGATTCTGCACTACCTTGTAATTGCCTTTTAATTAATCTGTTATTGTAATTTTTTGATTATCCTTTTTACTTTTTTTTTATTTCACTTGACTATGTTCATCTTCTATAGAAAGAATAATGTCAATAAAGTTATCTTATCTTATCTGTAAACAAACGTATTTAAACGCGCTGTGTACGTTGCTGTGAGTCCCATATCGAACAGGACGGGACGTGATTCCTATCGCATATTAAATTTGTTATATATAATTAACTATAGTGAAACGATAAAATGTCATCACATTAAAATTTCAGTTAATTTCAAAATTAAAGCGCGGTAGTCGTCGCACAGCGCGTGTTCGAATTTCGTGTAAATAAACAATGTATTTTACACGCGTTGTATACGTCGCTATGAGTCCCATATCGAACAGGACGCGGCACGACGACTACCGCCCTTTAAAAGGCGGATGTCGTCGCGCAGAACGTGTTCATTTTCATGAGGACAAACATTGTATTTCACATGCGTTATATGCGTCTTTATGAATCCCATATCGAACAGGATGCGGCGCAACGACCACCGCCCTTTGGGGGAAAATGTGGTACTTCTTTATCATCGTGGTCGTCGCTTTCGTGGTCCATACATTCGACAACCACCACGATGACTGGCCGGCACACCTTCCATACTCACGGTTCTTGGGCTACGCCCACCAGGAACTCACTGGACTTTGAGGAATCCACCATGTTTGGCACTTGGCGACTTCCTTGAATGTCACAGAAACACAGATAATTTAAATATTGCAACGACTGACGTGTGTGACATCAACCTCCGTCGAACAGCCTCTGAAATAACAACAACAACAAACAACACAATGATTTGGAGAACTGAAACCATTACATGAATTACAGCTCCGTTTTTTAGTTTTAATGTTTTTAAAGGGCGGTGGTCGTCGCGCAGCGTGTGATCGAATTTCATGTAAACAAACAATATATTTTACGAGACCCATATCGAACAGGACGCGGCGCGACTACCACCAACCTTTTAGATATATCATTGAGAGATCGGAACACATCCAAAAACGTGAAATCTCTTCTTCATTTTAAAATTTCAACATCCAATCGATGGATTTGATAGAAAAAGTCCGACACTAAATTGATATTAAACCAGATCTAAATTGCTGGCAGGATATATTTTCTGTTGCGTCAAGTGTCCTATGAACATGGTGGAGTAATGGCACGTAATTTAGGTTCTTGAAAAAGGAAATTATGTTTTCTGAAACACATTTTCAACTGAAAAGTTCCATCAAGTTGATAGTGCGTCATCACGTGACGCAACTGAGAACTCTTAAAATGTTATGTCAACGATTCATAAATTCCTGCTTATGCCATTTATCTATGAACCCGGGAGGGGCGCCCCGCAATATGATTAAAATAAGATCCTGGTTTGGGCTTTATTTTTTCTCATTGTTTAAAATATGTTACTAATTATTTATTTTCATCATACACTTTTTTTTTACTTCATTTTATTTTATTTTTTTAGAAGTTTTGGTAATCGCGAAAGCCCACAAAATAAGATGTACGTAATAACAATAAAAACAATAATAAAAATATATAGTAAAAATAAAATAAAATATATAATACACCAGATTTTAATCAAAATAAGGTGCTCCGCAGCCCGTTGAAAACTGGATTCAAAAAGACCGACGTTGCGGGCGCTTTTTGACTAGAAAAAAAATGCGTTTTTCGCCGAAGAAAAGTGTCTAAGGTTTGCTATCAGGTCTCCAGCCAGCGAATTGACGTTCATGAGAAAGTATGTGAAATGAAGTAAAATACACTTAGATACCTCGTTATCGACTATATACTTTGTACAACCTTATTTTTGAAACCGTCGAGAAATGCTCAAAACCCAATGACTCTAACCATGGATGTACTAGACGTCTCTAGTACGTCCATGCTCTAACTATGTTAACTAACAAATTTATTATACGGGTAATTAAAGGGGCGGTAGTCCTCGTGACGCGCATGTGCGGCATTAGTGTTGATAAACATTGATTTCCCCCACAATCCAATGCGCTCTGCTAGTGGAAATCACATGTACGAGTTTTGACCTGGGCGTTGCGTGAACTAATTACCGCCGGTGACCCTTCGAAACCTTCCAATCACTAATTTAGAAATTACCTAATTAAAGCTTGGTAACGTATCAGTTTCTACTCGTTGTTCTGAGCAACATTCAAAGTCGCCATCTTCGCTCATATATGAGACCCATATCTAGCGCATGCGTGGCGCGACGACCACCGCCTTTTAATGCTGCTGTATTATTGGAGCGTTTCGCCGAGCGTGTTCTCGTCATGTACCGATTTTCCATCACTAGGTGGCAGCATCGTTCGCAATACAACCTGGGACACAAAAGGTGGTGAAGTCTCCTGGTACGCATGACTAAAATATTCAAATTCATTAAATGATTTTACTCCACTGCTCATATGATATCTAACAAAGTCAATCAAAGTGACTATAAAAATGTCATAATAAACTTGATAGGATTAAGCAATCTGACTTGTATGGCGTGAATTTTATTTTATTTTTACTAGATATTTTTTATTATTTTGTAATTGTTTTTATTATTATTACCGTGATACATTTTATTTTGTATTACTTTAACTATTGTGGGTTTCTTGGTTATCAAAACTCTTAAACAATAGCAAGCAAATAAATGATAAATTAAAATAAAGTAAAAAAGTAAAACAAACAAACAAACCCAAACGACGATCATATTCTTAATCAGATTGAGGATACAAATCCATGTGAACAGTGGCCCAGTTTCTAGTGTAAATTCTTGTTTTGCGATATCAATTTGAAAACTAGAGAATGAAAGAAAATTGTACATATCATTTTTTTTTCACATTACGACAAAGAAAAAATAATGTGTTCCCAATTTCTCCATGTTTTTACATTATATAGTCATTGTGCACATTCTTCCTATTACAGTTAATTATTCCCCAAATCCTTCAAACAATCCTTTTTAATAACATTCAACCAGAGAGTAACTCCATATCCTAACCAATACACGTTGGTTCATTGACCCTAAATGAGAGATCCGTGTTTGTTGTCATGACGACTTGGATTCTGATGAAATGTTTTGATACGAATCCCGTCGCACAGTGGTAGATACATGAACATTCAAATGACTCGTAAATGCAATGACTTTTTCGTCAAGCAGCGCCCTCTAGCTACACAGGAATTATGTGACATGGAAATGGCGTAGAGGGACATGAAATGGAATTTAATTTACAACTGACTGTTCTTGGCTGAGTAGCTGTCCTTTCTGATTCCCCAGTATAAGGCCTCCGAAGTATGATTTATATACATACTATTAATTCCAGCCCCCCTAAAAATGTTTCCGGGAATACCTTTCAGAAATAAAGGCCGTCTCTTAATGCTATGTTTTCCCCATGAAAATTGTTCCGTCTTGGTTATTTCGTACTCTACACGAAGCCAGATTATACTTTCACTATGTAATTATGTTTCACCCGGAACCATTGAAAACAATTTGAAAGTATAATGACTGTAGACAGGAAACTGTCAAAGCCAATTATATGTGATCATAAGACGGCATTTGTAGTCAGGGTTATCTCGTTGAGTCAATCTGATGAAAGCGATATTGCACCCAATGACGTCATGCGGGGAGCGCGTTAAGTCATGCGCGAAGAACCAATCAACAAATCGTATAATGTAGTTGGCACGAGGCTTCCATGGACATATTGGATATGGACCCATGGCGACCGCCTGTGTTGCGTGACAGACTCGGACGCGGATTCTGTTTTTAAATTAGAAACACAGAGCTTAGGACCGGCCCAGTCGTGACAATTGTATTGATTTATATGACAACTGCTTTTACGAATGAAACTGTAAAATATCTGGTCCTGACGCAAAAATACCTCGTGTTAATTTCGCGTCTGACCTAGATTTTTTTTAAAAGAAGAAATTTAAAAAGAAAGAATAGAAAACGCATCTACTGTTCTTGATATTATGTATGATATGTTGTACACTGATTGATGCGTTAGTGACAAGCGATGAATTAGGTGAAAGAGTTTTGTTTTAACATTATTGAAATATATTGATTTACATTCTAGACCAATTGTATGATATTCAAATTCAACGTCAGTTCATGCCGTGATCCATATATCACGTTATTCAATACTGATTTGCATAAATTTGCCTTTCATCCAATCACAGTGATACATTTGCGACGAACAAGTATAATATATATACTATTCGATAATAAATAATGGGCACTATTTTTCCACCTGCAGAGGTTACATACCTTGGTCACATAAATCAACGTATTAAAGACTAGATACACTATTTGATAGCCAATGCCAAGACACGTGACTCGCTCCGCCCGCGCTCATGATCTCGGCGGCCATGATTTACGTCTAAGGTCCATTAACTATTATTGGTTTTGCATCATATCCGGTTTCAGCTTGAGACTAAAACGAAGTAGAGTCCGGGGAATTAATATTGGTGTCAAGTTTAATGGAGTGTTATACTGAGCGTGTGTACGTGTTCGACTGAGTCAATATAATTTCAGTTTGTTTTAGCAGAGTTGTTTGCATTTTGAGGCATTTTTCATCTCTGTAACTGACATAGTGCTACGATTATACTATCGCTTTCTTGCGATTAAACGTGTGAAATAGTGCTATTTTCGAATCCAGGTTTCAAAATTTAGCAAATCGTCTATTTTGAAGGTGTCAGATGTTGCCACTGAAAATATACTTCTCGTACGGCAGCATTTGACGCGTTTAGAAACCGCGAGAAGGCCATCAAAAAGTCCACCTCTTCAAAATGGGTTGGTTTTCGCTAAAATTCCATTCACATATTTAGGGGTTGGTTTTTCTGATATCATGTTAAATAAAACAGTTTAAAAACAAAGAGTTGTATCTTTTTGTTTCTCTTCAAAATGAAAAGAATAATTGTAGTATGAAGCATTTTTATATTATTGTTAAAACAATAATTGAGCTACTATCCTTCAAAATAATCTACAGATATCTATATCCCTCAAGTAATGTGATTGGCCGACTGTTTTTCAACAAATTATGAAGTTTATTTAAAGTAGGGGCCATAGCATGTGGTTGTTTACAAACAAACTTTTACCCGTGAGCTTTTGCGTTTTTTAGGATACGTTGTTTTCATTGCTTAGGATTCAATTCCCGCGCATGCGCAGGTGACAGACCTCCCCGTTTTGAATATTCATAAATTAATAACCAAAAACTACTAGTACATCCAGGGGTAATCCAAAATGAGCATATTAACGCGAGAGGGTCGTCACCTGCGCACGCCCGGGAATTGAGTCCCAAGCGATGATAACAACGCACGCTAAGAACACAAAGGCTCATGGGTCGACGTTTGTTCGTAAACAATGATACGCTTTGGCCACGAGACGCATGCGTAGGTGACGACTCCCGCTTTAAAATAAAAAAATAGTTCAACAAAATACGTATGCCATGATTAGTATAAAACATGCAGACCCACCTATAAAAGCTGTTTAGTTGTAAGAACCTTATCGACTCTTTCTATTACGCATATCAATGGGTAAACCTGTTTACTGATCTATGGAATGAGGATAGCGGTCACCTCACGTTGATTCGTTTGTCGTTGCTACAAGGGTACTTAGTAATTTGTGCGGTAGTTGTCGCGCCACGCATGCGCGAGATATATTGATCTTAAGTAAACAAAGATGACGACTTTGACTGTTGCGCAACTGTTGTAATATGTATTACTAGTCTGAGCGCAGATCAACGAGTACAAACTGGGACGTTACAATGCTTTAATTAGGTATTTGTTTAGATGATTGGAAGGTTGCGAAGAAGTCACCGATGGTAATTAGTGCAAGTCGCGCCCAGGTCAAACCTTATATTTGTGATTCCATTAGAAGAGCGCATTTGATTGTGGGAACATCAATGTTTATCAACACAAACGTCGCACATGCGCAGCACAGCGACCATCGCCCTTTAAACGAGAGACCTTTGTAAGTTGGCAGAATACACGCGCACTATCGGTAGAACGGAGTGTCAGTTTCTCACACTTCTCGCCAATACAAACTCTCGCTGCCTATTCTCACCAATAAAGTCGGTGATTTGTATTTTTGCCAAAAAGATTTTATATTCTCGCCAATTAAGCTGCGGGAATGACAGGATTTCTCGTTCGAGTATTTTCGTTCTAGTCTCACATTTTGTTTACAAGTAGTGCATGTTTTCCCCGACGTTTCTCCGGTGAGAATGACGCCGACTACTGGAGTCGAATTCGCATTCTCCCAGGTGCTGAACGGACAGGCTAATCCACGAATCGTACCTGAAACTCATATCATTATCATGGTATACTAATTCGATTATAGTGATTTAGCTGCTAGTGGCTTGGAAACAACCTGAATTGCGATATGCGAATTCTGGCTTATTCCCGAGAAAACTGCAGGCATTTAAAATGGTCGGGAAATTAAAATTTCATGAACACAGTTTCTTTTACATGTGTTTGAATAACATTTCAGTGAGCGCTCACGTAATTGCGCGTGATGTACAAGAGCTGCGGGTGACACCATGCTCACCAAGTGCTACCTTGGCAACGAATTATCGTAATGCAATCACGCGCTGATATTAAGCGTGCACCCAATTAGATGAGTTCATTTGAATACCTAATTAACAACAATCGTACTGTCGTTGCTACGCAGCATCATGTTTTCAAACTCGAGGCCCCGAGGAATAGACGTGTTTAATTCTAAATAAAATATTCATAGTATGACACTCGCGGATAATACTCGGTTTCGCCCCAATGCAGTACTGTAACAGTTCATTGACACTACGCTCTAATTGCAGTTGGTATGCTGAGCCAAAGAGTTAAAATATACTTGGCTGATCGATACTCTGTATATTATGATTGATTGTTTT